ACTAATTGACTGTGGGTGATTCCAAAATTTACAAACAATCCACATTCCAGTAACATAGCTTTATGTCTTTACTATTATCAAGTTGGTCCTTGTAGTTCCAATTGTGACAAACTAGCCATTAATTTTGGACATTGTCTTCATTTGACTCAATTGATAACATTTCTCAATATCTTAAATGGAAAATGGTTGCGTACACCTCATATCTAGATGAACGTAACGTAACGTGACACTTATAATTTATGGCAACATTTAATTTTCTACATAGGAAATTGAATGTTAGCATAGATCATATTTATATGAAACGTAACGTGACACCAACATAAGCCATCAACATTTTCACATTCAATTTAAAAAAATAAAAACTCATTAAGTTTGCGAAACGTAACGTGACACGTCACGTTACGTTTATGTATGTGTCACGTTACGTTTATATAGGTGTCACGTTACGTTACGTTTATATAGATATCACGTTACGTTACGTACATGTGGGTGTCACGTTACGTTACGTTTATGTAAACGTTACGTTTATGTAAGTGTCACGTCACGTTACGTTTATGTAGGATCTTGTAGAATACATTCTTATCTAAATAGGACTTAAGACTCTATAAGAAATTACATAAGACTTGGCCTAGCATAAGTGTCTGAAAAAAGACTTATAAATAAGTCTTTCAAAAATAAATCCAAACAAAATATCACATCAACCCCTATAATCATTTCACTTTTTCTCACAAACATCACATCCAATTACAAAAAACCCAACTATCTTCCCAAACACAATTTTTTTTTCCTCTAATAATATCCCACATTGTGTTTAGGGCGGTGTAAAATATCGCTTAATTCGTTAAAATTGTATTAATTTGTACTGTTCTAATTGTTAATTGCGGTTTAAATTTTAAATTTTATAATTTGCCAACTGAACTGTTCTGTTCCGTTATAATTAATACATATATATTTTTTAATTTCTAGTGAAATATTAATTGAAAAATGAGTGTATGAGAGATTTAAAATATAAAATATATTATAAATTATTGGTTATTTATATGAAAATATTATATAAAATTACTTTGTGTTATATATCTAAAACATATTATACAAATTAATGTTATATATTATGTAAAGGGAGATTTATTAGAAAATCTTTTTTCAAATGTTTGTATTCCAATTAATTCATAAGATATTATTATTTGAATATTTGATCTATCAAATCCTAATTCACTTATTTAAAGTATTTTATGGACATTTCTATCCTTATAAATATTTTTGGACAAATTACATATATCCCCTTGAGGTTTGGCTAAATTACAAATACCTCCATGAGATTTGAGAAATTACAAATTTCTCCCTTAATGCTATATTTGCATAACAAATTAAGGGGTAATTTGTTATGAAATTTAAACCTCAGGGGCAAATTGTAATAAAAATACAAATCTTAGGGGGCGGGATGTAATTTTCGAAACCTCAGGGGTATCTGTAATTTAGCCAAACTTCAAGGGAAGTATATGTAATTTGCCCAATATTTTTTGAATGGGTGTTGTGAACATTTATATTTGTGAATGTTCACATTGATAGTGTGAACATTCACATCATGGAACATTCACACTGAAAATGTGAATATTATTAGGAATATTTTGATAATTATGTCACTCAACTTATTGGAATACAAGAAAATAATATGAATTAAAAATGGAACATAAGTAGATAAAAAGAGATTTATGAAAAAGTACCATTTATGTAAATGTATAATAATTACTAATCAAAATATTATTTAATTCGCCAATTCGTCAAAAACTGCCCAAATTACAATTTATCAATCTATTAATCCACTAATCAACCATTCAATTTATAATTTTATTCTCAAATTGCCTGAACGGTACCGCATACACCCCTAGAAGTGTTTGGCAAAGGTTTGTTTTGTTGGTTTTTTGAACTAAAATTCACAAAAGACAAAATAAATTAAAATAACTAATAAGACAAATTATCTGTGATACCCCTGTTCTGTATTATGCTAAATTGGTCCTTAATTTGTTTATGGTTATGTGTTTAGCATGATTTTGTGCGCCATTATGTGATAATATGTGATTTTGACTTCGTATCTGTTCACCGTAGGAACATCTGTTTGAATAGTCCCCTTCGAGAATTAAATTGAGGGCCTTATCGGCCACAGAACCCGAAATTGATTACGCCACTGTGATTGGCATAATTTTTAGAGCCTACGGTGAAATTTAATTGAAAATTTATTCTGGTCAATTTAGACTGATTAAATTGATAAATTAAGTGCCCAATTGTTTTATAATAAAATAATGTTGAGTGGGTGCTTATTAAGGGTCAACTACACCCTCATTTCTCTTCTTTAAGCTTCATTTGGCTGATGAAAAACTCTTAGACTTGAGAGAGGATCGGCTAAGAGAGAGAGGGTGAAGGAAATTGAGATTTTGGTCCTAAAGCTTGGTGATCTTGGAGGCTAGCTCGAGAATTTACCTTAAATTGTGAGAATTAAGCTTCTAGGTAAGCCATTGACTCTTGAATTCATGAATTGAACGCGCAATCTTGTGAGCTCAAGTATTTTTTTGTGATTAAGAGTATGATTTAAATCGGTCTTGATGAGATATGACCATGCATGCATAAAAATTCTGTTGAATTGCCATAAGTTGCATAATCTGGCATGTACCATGTCAATTAAGCAAAAATTGAAGTTTGATCATGCATGCAGGCTTGGTTTTGTTGAGTTTTGGCACCATTTGCATCTTTGAAATGGAAATGAAGTCAAGATGGCCTTGCATGTTCGAATAATTAATGACATGAGCTTGAATGCATGAATTTGTTATATGGGTGATGAGTTTGTCATGTTTTCGGACATGCATGTAGGTAAATCAAGAAATTGAACTTCATAATGCTATAATCTTGCAAAGGAACCATGTTAGTATGATTATATTTGAGATTTGAGCCTTTGCATGCAAGAATGGTAGCTGGGAAATTGAATTGAAGCTCAAGAACACAATCTGGAATTTCCAGAATTTTGACTTCCGCTCGAGCGTTGAATTGAAGCTCAAGAACACAATCTGGAATTTCCAGAATTTTGACTTCTGCTCGAGCGGGGGAAGTGCCGCTCGAGCGGAGAAATCGAGCTCCCAGCATTTTTGCAGACATGGTTCCCGCTCGAGCGGGGAGCTATGTAGACAGGCAGTACGCTCGAGCGGCCGAGTTCACGCTCGAGCTGGAATTGAAGGCAACCAGTACTTTTGCAGACCTAAGGGTCTGCTCGAGCGGGGAAGTCCACGCTCGAGCGGGGACCTTGTTTTCTGAGATTCTGTTTTTGCATTCTGAGTTCTGTTTTCCGTTCTCTTTCACCTGTAAGCACTCTTAGGCATATGTTAAGCATTGTAAATGAATTAATGAGATATGAATAAAGCCTAATGAGGAACGTGTGAAGCAAAGAACGGGTTGAACTGTTAGTGACCCTTTTTGTGTTCATGAAATGTGTAGGGTCAAGCTCTAGGGCAAATCCACAAGCCGATCATTGTGAGTAATATCAATATTTAAAAGCTTGTGAATGTCCAATTGTTATTCTCTTATAAGCCTTATGAATTTGCTAATTAGAATCGTGGACAAAAGCCTGATACGAATAAATGAATGGACCAGAGGTCGTTTTGACAGAGATAATGGGCCAAAGGCCGTTTTGATATAAATGAACGGGCCGAAGGCCGTTTTGACAAGAATGAACGGGCCGAAGGGCGTTTTGACATGAATGAGTGGGTCGAAGGCCGTTTTGACACAGATGAATGGGCCAAAGGCCATTTTGATATAAATGAATGGGCCGAAGGCCGTTTTGACAAGAATGATCGGGCCGAAGGCCGTTTTGACATAAATGAATGGGCCGAAAGCCGTTTTGACGCAGATGGAAATCAGAATGGGCCAAAGGCCAATATGTTTAGAACTACAGTCACTTGATCTAAACTTTGTATAAATGTACATATGTTAAGTAGGAATATGAATTGGGCCCAAGGCCGTTTGGAGTATGTTGTTCTTCATATTGTTTATATGACTTCTGTATTTGATACTATTCACTGGGCTATCGCTCACGTTCGTTCATGTGTTTGTAGGTGAGCTAAGGGAAGTCCAAACCCAGCCCCAGTGAAGTCTGCTAGGAAAAATACAAGTTTTGAGGAAATTAGCCTTGCGTCTCACTCTTGAGACCTAACCTTGCCTTTTTGCTATGTAATTATATTTTGTCTTGCCGGCAAGGACTTTATGTATAATTATAAATAGTCTGTCATGGGTTAACTTAATTAGATGATCCTGTTTGTAAGGAATTTTATGGTACTGTACTTTCGAAGTGTGGGTTATTAACGTATATGAGTTTGGTTTGTTTTGAAGCGCATATAAGCACGGCTCTATGGACAAAGTTTTTGATTATAACTTCCGTTTGGCCTCTCTACTCTGTTGACTTATGTCTATTTTGGTTTGAGGCCGTAGGTAATCTCAGGATTACTGGCCGGTTACGTCCTTACACCTTTGTAGTTTATGTTTTTCTAAAAATAAACAAAAAATAAACAAAAACCAGTTTATAAAATTTTTGTAAATATAAACTGAAAACGTAAACGTTACCAAACACAAGTGTTACCAAACGGCACCTTCTGTTTTTATAATTTTTATTTTTGAACAGGCTGTTTTTACAAATTTAAACTCTCGTTTTTTTTATGGTGCAATTATTTTTTGGGCAAATTACATATACACCCCTCCAGGTTTGACAAAATTACAGATACCCCCCTGAGGTTTGAGAAATTACGAATTCCCCCCTGAATGCTATATTTGCATAAGAAATTAGGGGGTAATTTGTTATGAAATATAAACCTCAGGGGGTAAATTGTTATGAAAATACAAACCTCAGGGGGCGGGATGTAATTTCCGAAATCTCAGGAGTATCTGTAATTTAACCAAACCTCGAGGGGTGTATATGTAATTTGCCCAAAAATATAAATTGCCTGCTAATATTGCAAATTCCCAAATACCCCCTAATCGCGTTATCATGTGCAACTTTTGCTCAATTTGGCACCGTCGCCTCGCGTGAGAGAAGAGCTCCGACGATGCTAGTAGTAGAGTCTGGTAAAACCTTTTGTTTGTAAAGAGGACAAGACGAGGACGTTGGAGAATAATGCTGGGCGGAGGATTGTCACCGGAGTTTTGGAGGGAAAGCGGAAGCGGAAGCGGAAGCGGAGGTGGAGGTGGATGGGCCACTAATACTTTGGTGGTTCTACTCCTCGTATCGATTTGTCAATTGATTGTGAAAACTAGGCTTTGGTTGGAGTTCATATCCTCATCCTCATCCTTCGTCAATGTTCGATTGAGTTCTGTCGTCTCCCCTTCTCCTAACACTGACTTGAAATTGAAGAATCCCACCGTTTCGCATTCTGCCAACTCCCAAATCCGGTAATCTTCTTCTATGTAATGAATTAATGTGTCTCTCTCTCTCTTTTAGGTGCTCACTCATTTTCTTTTATTTTGATTTCCTTCTCTCTCTCTCTCTCTCTCTCTGTGTCTACATACATATCTAGGTTTAGCTTAGGCCATCTCCACCTCTTACACTTACTCAAAATTTTGCTCAAATTTAAGTGGAAATTTGAGTAAAGCTTTGTTTGATATTAGCCGCCCCAATGGACAAACTCATATATTATACATAAATTTGTGTAGACGTTTCACTAATGGCAACAGTTGATAAATTTTATAGCCACAAAATAACCCTAAAAATTTTGTGATAACATTCGAGTCTTCCTTAATTTAAGTAAAAATATTGAGTAAAACTCAATTTGTGTAAGTTTGGGTCAAGGAGCCGAGGGTATTTTGAGTGATTTTTGCCAAAATTTGGAAGTTTGATATAGGTTTGAGTCTAGAGTATTGGAGATGCCCTTAGAACCTTCTTTATTTTTCAAAAAATTACTGAGGAATTTAAATTGGGCTTCAACTGATTGACTTGATCTAACATCAAATTATGAGAAGCTCGGATTGTTTATTCAACCCTTCTCACAAACTCCCTCCTTCCAATCCCAAATGCTTATCATCATCTCTTTGGTCTTCCAGAAAACTAAGAAAATTAATTTATACAAACACAGACACAGACTTTTCTGCAATTTTTTATTTTTATTTTTTATTCTTGTTTTGTTATCCTTATCTTCAGGGAAAAGGCTTAATTAGAAAGGATAAACATCATATAAATGGAAAATGAGGAAGCTAATTGCAAATGAGCTCATTTGCACCACAAATGTCTCATGCGCATTCCATTGATTTGCATAACAGCCTGTATGAATTGAGGGTTTGGTGAAAAAAGAAAAGATACGGAGAGAATGAGATATCTCATCTCTTGTTTGGATAATTAAAAGATAAGGCCTATACTTGTAACTATTATCTCCATTTTGTTGCTCCCCAAACCTACCAATTTTGGAGAGATTCATGTGTATTTGGAGCTGTAAATGGGTGAGATTGTAGCAAAGCTGTTTTTTGAATCTCTCCAAATGTGGATGGAGATATTTGGAAAGTGATGAGGATTAAAAAGGCATTGGATAAGGAAAGATTTAATGACTTCTGGAATGAAAGATATCATTATTATTCCCGAACGGACTGTTCATATACTTGGTGGAACACCAAAATAATAGTATTTTTCTTTTTCTTTTCTTTCCCCTCAATCTGATTGTCCACACAATCAAATTCAGTAGAGTACCCTCATTATATTTCATCCTTCCTTTTGCTGATTTAGATTGAGGTCATTATTGATATATGGCCTGTCAATGTTGTAATCTTCTCTGGCCCCATTCATCCAAACATAAAAATACATTTATGGATAAAGAAGACAGGAGATATAAAATTCATTGTTAAAAATGAAACTTTCCATAAACCCAGATGAAGACACATGGTTAAACTTCACCTAACTAAAGAATAACATAGCCCATCAACATACACAGAGCCCCTAGAATAAAATGGTTCTATATACAATTGAAGGATGAAACAATAAAGATTTATGTAGCTGACATTGAGTAGTTAGGATTACGATCTTGCTGACTTGAGCCGAGTTCTACTTTTCTCTTGATGCATACCAGCCTGTATGAGTTCCCAACTGACTGTAATACAGCAAAAATGAATAGCAACAGTGTCAGAGTTAAATCGGAATGCCTTTTGACCCCAACCAAACTGGTTGGTTTTACTTGGCCTTACTAAGTGTATTTATGCCATTATGATACATTCACAATTGTGAATTAGAAATATCCATTTGGTTGTTTAGCTAGCATTGAAGTTCTGTTTCTTATTGCAGAATTTCCGGGATCATATCAGATTTGGATTTGAAGAATTTAATTGACAATTTGGATGAGAAGTCCCCTGGGTATCAGAAATGGGATAATGTCGTAGACAGACGTAACAGTCTTCTTGCTTACAGTGCAAAATGCTGTAAACCAAAGGTTCCTGCTTTTATTCTTAATCCCTGTGGAATACAGAGAGATTTAATTTTCAAGTTTTCCCAAGCACTAATTGTTTGGAAACCACGGTTATGATCTTTAGATTGTGTAGTTAATAAAAGTGTTAGAATGAACCTTTTGGTTTTTCAACTTTTTAGTGGGTAAAGTATTTTAGTTAACATTGAAAGATTATTGAACTGTATTCACTCTATAAGTTCCATTCCCATACAGTGTTTGATTTATATAAATATATTAAAATAATTAGAGATACTTGTTACTGAATGCTAAATTTGTTTTGTGCGTGCTAGTTTTAAAATCGCTACAGATAGAGTTTTATCTTTGAATTTTTAAAGAGTTGGTGCCTACAATTTTCAGCACTAAAATATTTCAGTACTAATGTCTCAGTCATGTGGGACAACCTCTTCGTAATGTTTAAATGAAAGCTCTTTGCGAGTGTGTGTTCAACTAGACATATATGTCAGTATAACGGTTTCTTCGATTGGCTTGTGAGTTTTATCTCACCAATTTGATTTAGATTTAACTTTAATGACTAAATGAACGTAATAATTCTTGTTCATGTTGGTACTTGTTGCTTACTTTCTCACTATTGGTCCAGCAAATCTGGCTAAAATGTCTTTTTGCATGCAGGATGGTCCCCTGAAATATTTAAGTGTGACAATTTTTGAGAATTGTTCTGCAAAGATGCTGAGAGATTTCTACATGAATAATACTTATAGAAAGAAGTGGGACAAAACCCTGATTGAGCATGAGCAGTTGCAGGTTGATGAAAGTAATGGGACTGAAATTGGTCGAACAATAAAAAAGTTTCCGTTTCTGACACCAAGAGAGTACATATTAGCTTGGAGAGTCTGGGAAGCAAAAGATGGAACCTCCTACTGTTTTAGTAAGGTATCTTTTCGTAAAATGAATCCATTTTTTTTTAGTACCCATAAAATCCATCCATGATTGTGTGACTTGTCTGCTTTAAAGTATTGCTAAACTTTATATTCAGGTAATATGTCATAATGTTTTGAATGTCTTTGCTTTTATCTCTATATCACCCCTGCTCCTTTCTAAAGACTCCAACGCTATTGCTCTTCTCTATCATATAGCAAGATTCTAATAGGAGAACGCATTATGTTAGAACCAATATTGGTTCAATATTTTCTATCACATGGGAGCAGAACTCTGTTATGAGATTGCATTATGTTAGATCTAGTGATGGTCAATATTTCCTAGTTTATGTAACATCAGAAGATATCCTTTCTTGCTTAATTATTGCAAATGTCAACTATTCATTATCTTAATGTTTTCAATCATCACTTCTCCATTATTTATATTTCTATTATTACTAAAGTTACATTTTATATATTTAGTTTTATTTCTACTAATTTTAAGCCCTTTTGACTCGAGTGCTTCTGTCTAGATTTATAATTAGTGTAAATTCATTCCTTAGTTTCATCTACTAACAATATCATCTACAAACAACATCAACTATGAAACATCATCCTGAATATGTTTAGTTAATTCATCCATGACTAAGGAAAATAGTTACGGATTCAAAGCTGATCCTTGATGCAATCTTACTATGATTGGAAATTCACTAGTTTATCCTGCATGTGATGTAATTGTGGTCACAATCCCATCATACATGTCTTCCATCACATCAATATACCTTTGCTCATTTTTTTTTTCCTCCAACACCCATTATATTATATCTATGGGCACCCTATGGTAGTTATTTATTTATTTATTTATTTTTGTATAAAATCCATGGACCAACATTTCAAATAGATGCAGTGCTTTATCTTGGAGTATGCTCTATCTTCCAAACTTTTTCTTTACTTGTGCAAGTTTTATTATATGCTCCTGTCCTGTGATGATTATCTGATCTTTATTTGAAGTAATTTTTTGTTTACACCATTAATAGGAATGTGAACATCCTTTGGCCCCCAGACAGAAGAAGTATGTACGTGTTGAATTGTTTAGATCTGGTTGGCAAATCAGGAAAGGCAAGTTTCTGAGTAACCCCACTCATTCTCCTCTTTATTAAAAGAACTGGTAAACTGCTCTATAGTGAGTTGGTCACATTTGTTTCAACCACTATACTTAATTTAAATTGTGATAAATAAATGTAGCTGTTAAATTGTTGATCATTGACTCATCTAAAAGCTTAAGCTGTGAGAGTGAGGAATAACTTTATTAGTATCCTTAACAAGCCTCCTCACGTGGGCAAACTCTCCTCTCCTCCATTAGTGGGACAAATATATGTAAGTATTATAATTGTCGGGTAAGTGGTCAGGTTCAAACACAAGATCTATTACCTTTGATGCTGTGTTAAAACTTGAAATAGAAGAAGTGAATGAAAGAGAAAAAGCGAGAAACAAATGTATAACATGGTTTGGCCACCATAGCCTACATCCACAACACAACCCCGAAAGGGCTCTACATCTTCTCTTACTACTTTCTCACATTTTCGTTATAATCAGCCACACAAATATATATATGATGCTAAATACAATATGTGTATAAACATGTAAAACATTCAAATCATGGAGTATTTTATTGGGTCAATCTCTTCAACAAATTTCGTGACCATGATTCTTCCAAACAATCCCATGTTTCGCTCTATTATTGGATCATTTAATTCAAATATATGAGAACCAGGTCTGCACAATGCTTGGTCTGGAATAATCTTCAACATTCCCCTCAAGTTGGAGCACAAAAATTTGAATTCGAGCACTTCGGATTCAAGTGTCCAACTTGCACTTCGAAACATGATATGTAGAAATCAATTATTGCCAAAATGCACTACAGCCTCTTGAGTGCAGTGAATTGAGTTATCAAGATCAATAGGATGATTCTTGATGCAAGATCATAAAACACGGTATAAAACAGGATGATGAGCAATAAAAGTACAAAAAAGGCTCTATAACAAAGAGATAAAATAGCAATGAGCAATAATAGTTGGTGAGAGGTTCCCCTTAATGATATTTTTCAGGAGAAACTCACTTGTTCTCACAAGGTAACCAAGATTTCCAACCTGACACAAACCTCTATCGTGATGCCAGATGTTAGAAAGCATTTGCATGGAATAATATCTACATGCAACATGACTAGAAGTTATTCATGAAAATTAACGATTCAAAATCAGTGGAACAGAAACAATAAAACTATAGTCCCGCGTGGGCAGTATTTGAGTTATTTTATTTCTTTGAATTAAAACTTTAGAAACAGTACTTTGACGAACTGAATTGGCCTGTTCGCATGCAAGTTTTAATCCCAGTGGTAAACCAGTCAGTATCTGCACTGGAGGCACCAAAATCCGATACGAACCAGCTGGTTTTTATAACCATGATAGCGGCACAAATTGAATGTTGAGTGAAGAAGCTTGCTTAGCACATAAGAAATTAAACCTCCATGAGTGGTAGTTCTGATGAAGTTATTTGAGCTTGGTTCAATCTCAAGACTGGCTTGTCTGCCCTGTTCATAAATAAAAAAGGAAAAAATGCTCTAGATTGGGTTTGGCCAATGACAAATTTCAAGCAAGCCAAGTTGAACAGCAAAAAATTCTGGTTGACTCAACTCATTTGCACATTTAACCTCAGTTGGCTTTTTGGTAGCAATGTAGTATAAATGGGTGCTTGTCATCGTTAAAATCTATTTTTTGTCCTCTCATAAGGTGACTGGGCTCTGATTTGGCTTTGGTAGTTTTGTGTGATTTCCTTGTCACAGTACCTGGCAGAAATGCTTGTGAGATCAAAATGGTGCACCAGGAAGATGCTGGTTTGAACGTTGAGGTGGCAAAGTTGGCCTTTGCAAAGGGCATTTGGAGTTACGTCTGCAAGATGGATAACGCGTTGCGCAAATACCCTTCCGCCAACTGTCCTCAATCAAGTTTGGGTGACACTGCAATCACTCGCATTCAGAAGGTCATTGCTATTTCCTTTATATTTAACTACTGGTTGTTCTATATGCCTTCACTTGCACCTTCCTGGTCAAGTAGCAGTCGTCAGGTTTACACAACATTTATTCTGAATTTTTAAAGATAAGATTACCAGTGCCTTCGTGAGACTGGGTTTCTGTTTCCTTCATATTTAACTACAGGTTATGAGGTTATGGTGAGTTTTTGGAACTTCATTGCAAAAATGTTGACTCAAATTGGTTTCATTGTGTCGTGTGATATAAACGTGGTTATGTAGTAGAGAGTTTATGGCATCAACTACTACTCTACTATTGCCTGCAGCACTCTGGGCTTGAGAAATAGTGGACTTGGATCATCCTGGTGCATTTCAAACCCAAACTTAGGTTCCGTTTTTAACATAATTGTTTTTGTCACAACTTGATGTGACCAGACATGATGATCAGCTCAATTGATGGGTCAATTCTATGTCTTCACTTACACCTTCCTGGCCAAAGACGCGGTGGCTGGGTTGTCATAACACTCTTTTTATATACATCTAACGATAGGACTACCAGTGCCTTTGGTATATTGAGGATTTAATAATTATTGTTACCAAGCATTACCAAGCTTCAAGTGAGTTTGCATTCTTTGCAGAATGCTGTTTCTGTGTATTCATTGTGATTATATATATTATTTATTTCTAATTTCTAATGTGTAGGTCCCGATGGGATTAGATACCAAAACCAATACATCTGGCCCAGCTTTTCCGGAAGCCTCTGCAACAAGTGCGTCTTGTTGCGAAATTGCCCGTGAAGGCAGTGAAAGGAAACTCTCAAGAAGGCCTTCAAGTAAATTGATAGCCAATGGGCTAATTCTCCTTGGTGGTGTAATCTGCATGTCTCGTGGTCACTCTAAGTTGGGTGCAATGGTAGCGATGGCATGCATCTTGACTAAGTTGACTAAGCGCGATCCTCCATTAAGCCAAAGCAGGCAAACTTAGGCATGCGCTTGTTGCAGCTTGAACTGCTGATACAGGTTCTTTAACTGTACCATGCTCCGTAATCGAAGACATCAGTGGCACCACACTTCCCTGGTTTGCTTGAAATATTTGGTGTTGACATTACTGGAGCGGTAAATATTTTGGTAAATATTTCTATATTTGGAAAACTGGTTTCCATGGAATATATATTATTAGAGGAGGCTGTTTTGTTTTCTGTCTACTTATGCCTTCGTCTTGTATTCCTTTTGCCCTTTTTTTTCTTTCACCGTCAAACATTTTTAACGCCTGCAAGGGTAGTCTTGCAAGTTGTTGTAAAGTAAATATATGTACGCTAACACTCCGTGCTTGGATAAGAAAGATGGCTTTTTTTATGTTTGGTTTATAAATTAGGTGAGAAATAGTGAAAGATAATTCAGATTAATTGGAATATTATAGATGCATTATGGATAAATTATAAATACACATACTGAGGTTTGTTTAAAATACGAATTGTCTTATGTGGTTTGAAAAATTATAAGTGTCTTCCTGTTAGAATTTTTTATTTAACTGAATTGATTTAAAAAATAAAATTTCTAACTGTTCATTTATACAATAATAAAATTATCTGAATTATTAATTGAAATAAAATTTTAACATTATTAAAAATGATTAATTAACTTGATGATTTATTAATAAAATAATCTATTTGTTATGAAATTAGAAACTTTAGGAGGCATAATGTAATTTTTAGAACTATATAGAGTAATTTGTAATTTAAGTAAACTTCAGGGGAGGCTCTATTTACACACCACTTTTCCTCTCAAGGCAAACCACTTCTAAAGTCGCACCAAAAATAATTTGCAAAAATAAATATTTTTCTCATCACACATCACAAATTTATATATTTATCCTTATTCATACACCCACCCACAACAATATACACACAAAGTTTCATCTTTGCCCCCACACAGCTACACACCCCACACCCACAATATTCATCTCCCCCTCCATTCTATATTCACACCGGTGAACACCATTGTTGAAAACACTCATCAAGATGTCGTCGGTGGTGTTGCTCAACACAATTGGAACTTCACATTGGAGATTTATTAGGTGAGTTATTATTTATTTTAGGGTTTTATGCACTTATCTCCATTGGCATGAAGTTTGTATTTGAGTGAATTGTATTTGAGTGAATCGTTCGACACTGGGTATTCGAACCCTAAATTCGTTCGGCAGTTGATTTTTGGACAACACAATTTTGTACGGGTGGTGACTGTCGAACATGTTCGGTTGTAGATTGCCAAACATGTACAGTATGTTCGGACAGATACTGTCGAACATTTTATTTATTTATTTATTTATTATTATTATTTTTTTAACATGGAACCCACTAAATATTATATTTAGTTAATATGCTTGTTGGTACATCAATTACGTTTTTAACATAATTGTTTTTGTTGGATTAGATAACTATAGAAAATACTAACAAGCAGTATCTTCATTCTAAAGAATAGATGATGAGTAATATATAAGAGGCTCATGATTCTCATTTCCTGCAACTAAATCCCAACCTCTAGAAATTAAACAATGAAAACAATGAAAATTCCATATGGTCACCAATTCTTGACCATTCCTTACTTCCCATATTGGGATGAGCTCGCTCTTCCTTTCCATCGTAAACTTGAAACTGACTTGAAGCAGATGAGAAATGCACTCTAGATGTCTTAAATACTATGCATCTGCGAAGAGAAGATGAAAAACTGACAAATTATGCCCCTACCTTGCAAGCCTCAAACCATCTAGTTATACTCCATAGACTATCATCCTACTCAATGTCTCCAATGTGATGAATTAAAAGGAGACAGTGGATCATCTTGCCACGACCATTTTGAGCTAGAAAAGAAAACCATGGGACAACTATTCTCTAATACTGAAAACTTCATAGTACAAATGCCTCCAGTGTGGGTTAATGCTATCAAGTGGTATTGGACGACCCTGCCAGATGTAATCCGCAATCTCATGGGCACACGGTAACCCGTGTGTTTGTCGAACAACACATCCACATACTGAAGCATCAATGCCAACATCATTCGCTCGCTTACTCTCCTCTAAGACATGATCTAATGCAGTAATAGAGATATTGCTTCGGAGCTCTCTAAAATGGGATGGTTTGAACTGGTGTTGTACAACGGTTAAACTCTTCTCAAACGATGCCTTAATATCAACATACTGCAACTCAAGTAAACTATGGATCTTGGTCCAAGAACACTCAAAATTTACTTGGTTAGAACCAAGTTGCCATTTCAATTTTGCATGTGCACTTTCAGCCCTGTGTACAATGGAAATAATTAACATAATGAAGTTTAAATAATCAAAATCATAATGTAAGGTAGACAAATATATATTACCTGTTGGTTGTAACATTCCCGAAGTGCATACAACTATCTGTCCATACGACAACAAACTTATCCTTTTATGGAATTAACCAACTTTGTGGCACATATTGCACTGCCTCAGGATATGTATCAAAATCTGCAAGTAGCCTAGCAAGGTGTTCATTGTATTCAAGCTTAGTTGAGGAGAGTACTAAGAAATTCCATAAAGAGATAAACTTGTCCCATTCGTCCTTACTCTTAAACATTTTCTTGCATTTTGCTAGTACATTTTTACTAATATGCCATCGGCATAATAAATGTTGAGATATAGAAAATACCCTGTCAATAGCATTCATCAAAGCAAGCTCCCTGTCTGTGACAATCACCTCAGGAATAGCAATGTCATACAAGAGACTACACAATGTAGTTAACACTCAAACGTAGTTATCAATCCGCTCAAATTGGAGATATGCAAAGGCTAGGGAGAATGACATATCAGTGGATGTCACACCAACTATCTCAAGAAGAGGAAAACGATATCGATTTGTCTTATATGTGCAGTCCATGATCAACAACTTTGGAAATGAACGGAGCAAATCTAAACTGACAGGATGTGCCCAAAACAAGTCTGTGACAGTCATTGTGTTGTTGTCACACCTATGTGGCTCAATGTAATTATGCTTTTCTAACTCACCCAACAAATGTTGCATTTGTGATCTCCCAGCTTTCTCAATAACATTATTCCTATGACGTACATTGTAAGTGGTTTTCATAGTGGTTACATTCAAAGCATCCTTTCGTTTCACTGTAACCAAAATCTCTTTCGGTCTGACCATTCTTTTGGACATATCCACTAATAATGATGTTTCCTCCTCAGATAATCTCCTTGCAAATGAATGTCCTTCAAAATGTTTTGCAGGAGCATGGTTATGCATTCCACATGCTACATCTGCCATCCAATCATCATCAACCATCAACTTATGAGCCTTCAACTCAAAGGGACACCCACATTTCTTTGTACCCGTTATCTTCACAATTTTTTTGCTTGAATCATCTCCTTTTAATTTCTTATGAGCTCTGTATTGACCACTTCTCTCACAGGCAAGAAATATTCTTGGTGTCCTATGGCCACCACCATAGTCCGATGTCTTGATGACAATCACAAACCCATTTTCCCTTCCAACGTCCCGTACCCAACTGAGCGATTCTTCTTTGCTCTTGAAAACCTACAAGTCAAATTTAACAAAGTCATTAAACATTCGAAAACAAAAAGAAAAAAATACTAATTTTCGACATGAGACTACCTCATTAGTAATAAATTGACTCGTGTAGTCAATAAGACCCCCAGATCCAACATTACTGCATTCCATGGATGCATAGTTCTGAAAAAAAAAAAAAAATTTATAACTGTTTGGCAGTACAGAGTTGAGTTAAATGAAAAAGTTCGATCGTAGTAATCCGAACAAATTGCACTTGTTCGATTGTAGTATGTTGAACAGATGTAAGTTGTTCGATTGTAGTTTGTCGAACAATGATATATCACACCTTTGGTTAACCGAACAACGATTTACCACTCATAAACGAAAACGAAGACGAAAACAACAAAAAAATAACCTTTTCATTGGTCCATTGTTCCGAATGAGAATTGTTAGATGCATCCTTCATTGAATCCAATCAAAATCTTCAATAATACTATATTTTTGATTATTTGTTGAAGGGTTTTTGATTTTAGTTTTAGGGTTTTTGGATTCTTGATAGAGAAGATACGTAAGGAACAAGTTTGAAATTGATGATTTATATTATATTGATTCTTGTCCTTTATGGTAAATACATAAATGGGGTGTGTCATTACTTGTCCTTTATAGTCATTTTACTTAAGGTTAAAATTGTAATAAAAAATAAATTAATTAATGGTTTGCCTTAAGAGGGAAAGTGGTGTGTAAATAGAATGACCCAAACTTCAGGGGGATGTTTGTAATTTACCCATTCATTTATTGATTGTATTTGTTTTTAAAATAATATATGGTCTATAAATTAAGAATATATCTTGAGATTTGCTTAAAATATTAATTATCTTTTATAATTATGAAAATTACATTGTGCCATTTCAAATTCTAATGACATAACAAATAATTCATTTCATTAATTATTTGTGAAAATATTAACTAGGGTATGTCCGTGCCTGAAGGCATGGTGAAAATATTGTTGGAATGAAAATGTAATTGAATATAAAATTATTGGGTTAAAATGTAATTTATTCAATTTATTGAAAAAAAAAATTGAGGTGAAAATATAAATAGATGGTCCGTATGGTTTTGAATTTTCAAATGAATTTTATAATTAGATTTTTGAAAAGAGTTTGTCAAACTTAAAATTGTGTTTGGTTGTATATATTAAAAATAAGTTTTGCAAATTTAAAATTCAAAACTTACTTAGTTTTGGAGTTTCCAAAAATAGTTTTTAAATTTTTAGTGAACTTTTTAATATTTTAATCGAAATATTTTTCACTTTTCAGATTCACTCAATTTTAATATTTTGAAAAATTATAAAATTTAGAGAGATGTAACTTAATAAAAAAAATTAGACCTTCCTTGTCTGTAGTGCAAACTTAACGATAAATATATAAAAATTGTCCAATTGAATTTAACAATAAGTTTAGCTATAAATTTTTATTTTTAACAATAAACAAGTTTCAATAATATTATTGTGATTGATATAGTATTTGAACTCAAATTCTCAATGCAAAAATAGAGTTGTGTTTTTGTTTGTCAAATAGAAATTTAAATGGCAAAAAATGGTATGGTCTATGATTAGTAGTGGTGGAGGCAATGTGATGGAAATTGCTACAATTTATCAAGAAAATGTAAAAATAATGATGACACAATTATTACCTTGGCCAAGAAAATGTGAAAACGTGAAAAATAGTGACGGCACAAATGCAAACAAAGACAGGATCACCAAATATTTACTATTGTAGTATTTTTGTTTATTTAACACACCTGCAATCTGTAACAAAAAATAATCACTTT